AGATAAACTCCAAAAGAAAGAACGGCCACCAGGAAAGTGATGCTGGATTTTTGAAACAAGGTGCAATAAATAGTTCCAATTATGGAAGCTCAAGAAAAACGTTGGGAACGAGGTTTGTTTTAACACCGGTACACAAATAAATACATTTAATGGAATGGGTTCGAAAACTATTGTACTTCCCTCATGGCCCCTTTGGACATATTAAAATTCAGCTTGATAGCAAGTCTTAGAGGAATTTTAGTAAATCCAAAGTGGCTTATTGCTAAACTGATCAACTTTAAGGGAAATGTCAGGGGATTAATTAACTCGATCTTCCTAGAGGTAAATAAACCTGGCATGATTTCAGATCAACTGCGGTGATCGCGTTATTTTAGGATTTATCATTTCAACATGTCTCATGTAAAACCAAGTCGTTCAACCCATGCAGCAGTAAAACAAATTATTAACAGAACTCAAAGTTGCATCTACTCTCAGCTCAAACAAAAATATTTCAGTAATCTTTTGGGACACACACACATAGGAACCATCTCTGTAATGTACGTTATTACTTGGTGTTACGGAGTCGGAATGTATAAACGTGAACTGAAGTTAATTTAAAATCCTCTTTGTTGTTCTTTTATAAAAGATCTAGATTTTGCTTTCATCCTATTTTACTTCGTTGAAAAATTCGGTATTTATGTTTAGACCGAGAGAACCGTTCATAATGACCACGTCTTTGTGTGAATCTGATGTCTGCAATGAAGGGTCGGACTGCACTGCAACACTCTAATACACACACTATTCCCTCTTATGGTAGGGTATGTTGTACAATAAACTGAGGTGTACCCAATACACAACTATCTCTCTTCCAAAAATGTCTTACCCTTCTTGTTGTGTTGTTTTAGGAGAGGCCCCAACCGACAGTTTGTTCCTCCAGTTTTAAATAATGATCAAGACAAAGATGGTGGATTGGAAAGGTTAGTGCGGACTGAATTACAGTTCCCGTGGGTTTTAGATAACGTTTGCTTTTTAGTTATCTGGGACTAGGACAAACCCCGCTATAATCAATGTTTTCCAATTGTATATAGATTAGGCCTGAGTTCTCTGATCAATAATAATAATAATAATAATAATGAAAAATAAAATCTTTATTACAAAACCTCAATTAAAATCCTATTTACAATCAACCTGCTATTACAAAAGATCTAATTAATTCATCAAAACACTATCTACAATTCCTTCATTAGAGATAAAAAACAATCCTATATGTAATAAGTGAAGAAAGAAAAAAAACTATTCATTTACAAATTCTAAAAAATAGAAGTAACTTAACCTTACATAAAAGAAGAGGAAATAGATATAATCAATAATAAAAGTTCGAAATTCTATAAAATTAAGAATTCCATTATGCAGAGATATTAAGATCGTACTATCGAATTATACTAATGACGGCTAAACCAGTGTCCATAAAAAGCCCTAAGTAAAAGCATATAGACACGTTCAGATATCCGCACTAGCGGCATTTATTTTACAGTCTAATTATTGCTCTATCTTGCTACGAAACGGCGTTCGCGAACCTCTGACGCATGCATGTACCGATCTTAAGAGTTCAAACGAGATCTGTGTCCTGAGCCAAGTGATTACAACATGATAAGGCTCGGTGTCTTTCTGAGCTATCTTGTCTGCGAGATGCTTTAAGAACCGCTGACCATTCCGCCACTGGTTCCAAACACTAAAGGCGTAAACGAAACCATTTCTACATCTAACACCCGCTGCTGGTACTTGCGCTTCTTCTCTTCTTCTTGCTCTTTGAACACTTCCGATGTTGGCTTGCTCTGGTAACATTTGGAGTTGACGTGCGTAACTCTAACATCAAAAAATGCCGTAACTCCTCTTGCCCAGAAACCTCCCGCTTTGATGTCCAACCTTGCCTCAGAGCTTGTAACAGCGCTCCTCAAATGAAATCGCTCGTTGTCCAGGGGTTGAAGGCGTGGTTCGATTTCGACATTATTGCAGATCTTGTCGATGAATGTCGTTAACAAGTTCCGTACACCATCATGTTTCTGCGCTACGAACCCCCCCTTTTTACAAGAGAGGGCGTGACTAACGGTGAATTTATCCCCACATATGCAATGACTTGGTAAATCGACTAAGGGCAAGTCATAACGCAAGCGTAGCGAGTCTCTGAACTCTTGCTTGTTGAGGGCTAAACCTTTGTCTGCGAGAGGCATCGCATTCAGCCAACAACTTTCGCCCTTGTCCCTCGATTGATTAACCAGACGCAGCAGGCCTGGGGAGAGGCTTGAATCAATGCTATCCATTTTCTCTTTGGCACTTGCTCTCTTAAGTGATTGTTGATGTCTCTTTAGCTCCTCCGTAGATCCTTCTCCTGGCACCATAATGGAACTCTGTGAAGTAATAGAATCTACGTGCGCGGTGGTTATTAGTCTCGAGGCAGCAAACTGCTGCGGTGCCTCGGATTTCAGATCAGGAATGCCTAGACCCCCTTGACCTGTTGCTA